ATTTTTTTTTTTTATTATTTTATTTTTTTAAAAAATTATTTATTCATTAGTTAATTTATATTTGTATACGCTGATTTTTGTAGAAGTCGACGAGTAGCCTTCAATTTTTAAGTAATTTGTATATGTTGATATTTGTAGATGTCGGCGAGTTGGCCACACGGACGGGGCAAGGGACCGATGACACGTGGCATGAGATCAGATGGATTTGCTGGAATCGAGGAACCGGTAGATGATACTACTGCACAAAGAGAGGGTAGGACACACAAGCGTAAGGTTACTGGATCTACACGACGGGGCGAGCGTAATTTGCGACTGAGGGAGCCAGAGGCACAGACCGATGAGGATGATGATGATTCACATGTAGGTTTCGAGGGTCAGTATGTTTATCCGGTGCCAGATTTTGGATTAGATGACAATGATGATGGCAATGATGTTGGCAATACCGTTTCCGCATCCCCGACTACTTTGACAGGTGCTGCTGCTACTTCATCTGGTGGTGCTACTCATCGTCGTGGTAATACTTCGTCCGATACTGTTACTCGTCTGTGGAAGTTGACTGGTCCGGCACCTGGTGGACCTACTGACTATAACTTGATACCGAGTTTCGGAGCGCACGTCACCTATGACATTTGGGAGGGAAAGGTAATATTTATTATATGAATTTTTATTGTCTTTTTTTAAATGCGTATAGTAGATAGTTGCATAATTAATATTTGTTTATATTTTGTACAGGCGCGATCTATGGTTAAATTGCAACCCCGTACAAAAGCGGTGACTGGTTGGCGTGGGCCAACAGATCCTCGGTCTGTTGCATTGTTGGAGGGTACTGGTTTGTACCAATTTAAACATTGTGTACTCCCTCAGCACTAGGGGTGTGCGCGGGCCATAAACCCGCGGGTTCTATCAAAACCCGCCCTCGTCCCGTCAAACAACGGTTCTTGATTTTGAAGAACCAAACTTGTGGATTTTTAACGGGTTTACGACAGGCGGGTCCATGGCGGGTTTGTAGTAGGACCCAACCTTTACGGGTCGAAACCCGTTATCGTCTAAACTATTTTTTTTTATATATAATTTATAAGTTTTACGGGAGAATAATTAGAAACTAAAACGAATAACCTAAAATTTTAAATTGAAACCAAACATAAATAATGTAACTGTCAAGAGTAAATAAAAAATAATATAAAACTAAAAATAACTAATTCATAACTTAAAAGACAAAATTTAAATAAAATAAATCTAGTTTTATCAAGCATAACCAACTTTATTCAGCTCCATTCAACACCATTTTCTTCCTTTTTTTTCTGCCGTGTGTTGACCGTTGTATATATATGCTCTTTTTTTCCTACATTTTCATAGAGATTTTCATAATCTTTATAGCTATTACTTCCACAATTATAGTTTAGTTGATTTATGTATTTGATACACTAGAGATACTTTGTTTATTCATTAATATTATTAATTTATTATACTATATAATGTAAACAAAACGACGTCGTTTTGTATGGCGGGGCGGGACGGGTTTCACGGGTATTAAAAAAAATTGAACCCGTCTAAGACCCAAACCCACGGTTCTTCACCATTTTAGGACCCAATCCTATGGATGGATCGATCCGTCCGGTCCCAACGGGGCGGTTTTTCATGGGTTTAACGGGTGTAGCGGGTTGATGGGTCCGACTTGCTCACCCCTACTCAGCACAATAACCCACTGATTGAGGCATTCATTGAAAGGTGGCAGCCGGACACAAATACGTTTCACATGCCTTTTGGGGAGATGACGATTACACTCCATGATGTGCATTATATCATGGGGTTGCGAGTTAGTGGACATCGTCCTTACACTGATATGGAGAAGAGCTTGGTGATCGAATCTGGCTCGAGGATATTCGATCTTGACATTCTCCGGATAGAGAGTTGGTGGCACAATGGTGGCCCCCGATTAGAGGACTTGCAGGAGCTATACGGAGATCATTCATCAGCTTCTTCAGAGTGTAAGGTGCGAGCATACATTATTTACTTGTTGGGATCGACTTTATTTGTCAATAAGAGCGGTGCCAGAGTGAAGCCAGATTTTTGCCCACTTATAGAGGATATCGAGCAGATTGGAGAGTACTCGTGGGGCTCCGGTACATTGGCAAATCTATATCGACAGTTGGGTATGGCTTCACGAGCTGATGCGAAACAGATTTCCGGATGTCTGACATTGTTAGAGGTAATTATTTTATTTGTGTATTTTCTTCAATTATTTAATATAATTAATATTTATATTATTTTTAAATTGTGTTTCATACCTTAGTGTAGTGTTGGATATACGAGTATTTTCCGAGTTTTCGACCTCCGACGGTTAAATCACACGTTATAGGAGAGCCGTGGTGCATGAGGTGGCATATATCAGACGTGGTTCGAAAGGATTGCAGTCGATTACTTGAGTATCGTCGGATGCTTGATCATTTACGTGCAACTGATGTAAGTAACTTGTACAATTTATTGTTTCATTTATCTGAATCAACTGTATTATTAATATGTATATTTTATTATAATAGGTTTATTGGACTCCGTTTGGTCCAAATGTGGCACGTGATGTCGAGAAGACACTCCATCACGGTACTATCAGGTTCATGGATACGATCGAGCCTTACATGTCCGATAGAGTCTTGCGCCAATTCGGCTTTCGACAGATTATTCCGGCATCCCCTATTCAACTGATGCGTGGTTCTAAGAGGGAAAGAAAAATTGTTTCGTATAAAGTACGTTACGAGTCCAATGATCATGCATGGAGTATCCCAAACGTGCACAGACTTGAGCAGACTTACTACGGTCATAGGGCGGATCCAGCTTGGGAGGTTGCTACAGATTACATGGATTGGTATATACCTCGTACTCACCTTCGTGTAGATCCCAGTACCGATTTATTGGAGAGAGCAGAGCCATCTCCAGTTCCATTCGTGTACGACATCACACGATTGTTGCATCCGTACTACTACGATCACTTGCCACCATCCCGTATTCCAGGATATCATATGGTACCAGATGATGTCTTTAGACAGGTTCAGGATCTGTGCACGCCATTTTCTGATTATTTACAGTTGCAGCCACCCGATATTCCAGATGATGATATGGATGCTGAGCATGATACTGGACCGTCACGTATGTCATATTCCCAGAGCAGGCGGCACAGGAGGGACTAGTAGCTATTTTTATATTTATTTCGTTATTATCAGCATGCTGTTAGTTATTTCTATGTTTTTTTTATTATCGACAGACTTACGTATTTTTAGGTTTATTTCAGTTTCCCGGATTACTACTTGGATAAATGAACAATGTTAATTTTAGGTTTATTCCAGTTTTTTTTTTTTTCATATTATTTCAGTTTTTGTTTTTCATATTATTTCAGTTCTGTATAAATTAACAATGTTATTTTTATATTTATTTCTTTGCCCAGTATAAAACAATAATAACGTTTAAATAAGTATTTCTTCACATATTCGTAGTTGCCTGGTTGGTCAGGGCATTCGTGTTTTACCAAACAGACCCGTGCTCGAATCTTGGCTGCACCGTGTATGTTTGAATCTTGGCTGCACCCAGTAGAAAAGTAAATAAATATTTCAGACCCATTCTCTAACCCATTCTCTAACCCCTTTATCAACCCCAATTCCCTATCAGTCACAACGACCCCCGGTACATTGTTTGGGAGGTATAGTTTTCTCAAATTGTTCAACGCCCACGTATAATGATCTTCATTTTCATGGCGCATAAATGTCACTGCAACAATAAAATTCAGACCCTCAGAGCAAACACCAATAATCTCCAACAAAGGCATTTTGTACACATTTGTTTTGTACGTACAATCAAACAACAAAACATATGGAAACAGTCTCAACATTTCGACCGACTGAGGATGTGCCCACATCAGATCAATCACTTCATGCGTAGTTGGATCAGTGCGGATCCACTTATAATACTTATGTTCCTCAAGCAACCCAACCAAATGCGGCATAATTGTATGTCCGCCTCTAGCCTCCTTTTTCATTTTCGCCTTTTCATTGTATATTTGTCTCAAATGCACATCTTGTGCCAAGTTCTTCTCTTTCAAATGTATTAAAATCTTCTTCGGCGGCACATGACTTTTTGCCAACATCCGAGTGATTTCCACCTCCTCTTCAGTCATTTTCGTAGACCCATGCCCAAACAAATGTACGGGATCATGATTATGCTTCCCATATAATATTCGAATTCCCCATCTATCCCCGTAATGTTGCTCTCCCACCAAGTAAAATTTACAATTAATTTTCTTTGTGCCCGACCATCTCTTGTTTGGCACATTTGTGTCTGTTTTACTTGGTCTCTTCACCCCAAATAGATCACAAGTAAGATATGCTCTATTTGGAGGGCTACTACGGCTCACCAACTTTACACCAAGATTCTTGGCGGTCGTTCTCGCCCATTCTACCAACGTAACTCAATCCTCGAGTTAAAAAGTTCTGGTACTATAAAATGCTCACTATGATCAACTTCAAATGTAGAAGAATTTTGTTGTTGCTCTTCCTGAAATAATTATAAATAAAAAAAGGTAAGAGAATAATAACAATAAAAAAAAAAAAAAAGTGTTCCGCTCCCAAACCGGACGCGGGAATCGGTTTTCGGCAACCAAACCGGACGCGGGTGGCAGTTTTCCGCGCCCAAACCGGACGTGGTTATCGGTTTTTGGCGCTCAAATCGGCCGCGGGGAGTAGTTCTCCGCGCCCGAACCAGACGCGGGAAATACTTGTTCGCGTTCGAACCGGGCGCCGAATACCGTCCCGTGCGTTCGGTTTGGAAGCGGATCTAGGTTTTTCGCTTCCAGTTTAGACGTGAGACGTATTTTTGGGCGTCCAACTTGGTCGTGAGTCTTGTTTTCGCGATTTAAAGTACAAAAACGAACATATTTTACCTCGTTGGATTTCGTATCTCGATCCACATTCGATGCACTCATTTTTTTTTCAAATGGCTACAATAACATGGGTTTTGGAATGATTTCTAATATAAAAGCTAAAATTGTAGAGAGAGAAAGAAAGTAGAGAGATGATTTTTTTAAACCCGCATTCGTAATTTTGCTACCGCGAATATCACCTCCTTTATAATTACGGTTAGAGGGTTACGGGTTACGCTGCGTTTTTATTTTTCTTTTCTTTTTCCTTCCAATTATTAGAATCCTAATTATATTTTTATTTAAACTATCCACGTGTCAGTCATCCTATGACATCCGATTTTTCTATTAAAACAGGTCATCCGATCTAAATTTGGACACTTTCTAAAGTTAAGGGTAAATATGTATTTTCTAGCCAAAATTAACGGTTCATTAACGAAAAAATGGATATAGGGGCTGAAGGGGTGCGCATGCCAAAAGATCAAACGTTTGGGGTGTGGTTGCCGAAAGACCAAAGTTCATAGGAGGTGGATGCAAATTACCCAATCTATCATATAATATTCTTTCTATTTGGGCTTGGGCTTGAATAGTTGTGCCTATTGCGCTCATGGTCCGATATGAACTATATAAAATATAATATATGTTCTTTATATTATTTGTTTATCTATATCATATTAATAATATAATTATTCGAGCATTAATCAGAAAAAATAAAATAAATATTATAGATATATGATCATGGGACCATATAAAATTGAAAAGCAAATGAATTGCAAAAAGTATGGCACGAAAGGAACACTACAAAGAACAAGTGGAATAAATTTGATGATTTTTGTTTACTTTTTTAGTGCAAAAAGATATACACATTAATAAAAATGATTCTTAATTAATAATAGTAAATTTGTAGTAAAATGGATTTTACCAATCAAGTTTACTTCGAAATTGATAAACTTATTTTAAACAAATTATAAACTCGAGCATATGATAAGTTGTTTTTAGAGTTGATAAGATGTTATGTCTTATTTTCGAAATTAATTTTAAAGTGTTTTGATAATGATATTAAATAATTTCTCTCATTTATTACTCTTCAAAAATCTAGAGAGAGAGAGCTAGAGAGAGAGAGGAGAGAGAAAATGAGAACACGTGCAGAGAAGGTGGTAACTGCAGCAGGTGGCCTAATTCCAAAGGCAAGATTTCATCGGTAACGTGTCTTTCTCCCACCTTTCCTTCAATTCAAGCACAAGAATCAAACCAACAAAGAACCAAAAAAAATAAAACAATAAACCCCAATTTTAGAGAGAGAAAGAAATTTCAAGAAAAAAAAATCAGAATCGAACTTACCTTTTTTCTTACTTTAGACCAGAAACAGCACATCTGCATGCATGAAGATGCCCTAAAGGCGCCATCTTTCTTGAATAAAGAGAGGCGAAAAGAGAGAAATAAAGTGTCCGCCCAATTAGTTTTTTTTTTGGTTTAATTTTTAAAATCGATTGTTTGAATTAGGGTTTTCTGAATTTCACGCCACAGTTGTAACAATGGCGGAGGTTCCAGTGGATTTTGTGGTGGAAATAGAGGGGGATAACGACGGAGATGGGGAAGTAGTGTGTATTACAGAGGATGAATCAAAAACCCTCGAGGATATTATTGGAATTTCACATAAAGATCATCCCACTTCTAATTCTTCAGGTAATTTTTCCGGGCTTTTGATCTATGTTTGTATGTATGTTATTTCTTTTGGGGGGTACAAACTGTTATGCTCAGGGTACAACTCCTGTTGGGCATTGGTAATTCTACTGTTTTTTTTTAATGATTTTGTGGAGTTCATATTAGGCACTAGTTGAAGAATGTGTTTTTTGAAGGGTGCAAAGGGAAGGTAGTGAATAATACTGATGTGATTAAGCTAAATGATTTGTGCATATACGAAGATAAAAATCATCGGTACATCAGAAAGAAAACTGGAGATAAACATTTGTTGTTTGGATAGTTTATAATTTAATCAAATTCAGCTTCCAAATTCGGATACGTTATGTACATTCGATGAAATACGAAAACACTACGAATCGCATGAATTTGTTTAAAGTTTATGTACTCTGTTTTTATCAAGTAATTTCGTTATTCGTGATTCGATTATGGTTTAGCTTAGGCCGTACAATATTTTGGTTTATATCTGTTTAGGCCCCGTTTGGTTGGCAAGATAAGATTAGCCAAGATAAGATTAAATAATCTAATGAGACCCAATTATTTTATTGGAGCTTGAAACGTCCAACAAAAAAAACTCATTCGAAGGCAAGATAAGGCAAGATAAGCCATGATTATTTAATTTTGGCGGGTCGACCCGGCAATTTATTGAGGATACCAAACATCAAATTAAGTCCAACTATTTAGTTAATCATGGCTTATCTTGGCAACCAAACGGGGCCTTAGTGCATTATTTTTATTTTTTTATTAAATCTAATCTGCATTTCTTAGGATCTATCGACAGGAATCCGCCTCGTCAGAAATTCGAGTGCGTGGAGAAATCAATTGAAGACCAATCAAACCCATCCTCCAGTCATCTTACTGCGATCGAGAAAAACAATTCAAACCACTCTCGTTTTGTTCTGGCAAAAAAGTTCTTAGATGATAAAATCCCCATAAAAAAGAAGGTCGACTTCAATATGATAATATGCATGTTTTTTGCGTCTGATTGTAAAAACTAGGACTTGTAATATTTTAATATTTAATATTACGTCTTTTTTGAACAGCTGAAATGGTTGAAGAAATATGCGACCGTTCAACAAGATGGGACTGTGAAATTCGAAGTACCGGGAGATGTTAAACATCAAACTCTCGATTTCGGCACTGGAGTAATATATGATGGTGATAATATTATAGATAAAGTAAATGCAGATACTACGGAAGATGCTTTGTTCTTGCCTCCACTTCAAATAGTGATGCTAATTGTCGGAACTAGGGGAGATGTACAGCCGTTTGTTGCCATTGGAAAACGCTTACAGGTTAGAATATACGGGTATTTTCGTGTGTTTTTTTCGTCTCCGAATATTAACCTCTCAGCATTTGATAAAAACCAAAATGTTTATCTCCGGGTTTGTGTGTGTGTGTGTGAATTCTTGTGTTGAAAAAATAATGGTGGGGGTATTTTGGGCAGGCAGATGGTCATAGAGTGAGATTAGCGACTCACTCGAATTTCAAGGAATTTGTCTTATCTGCCGGATTGGAATTTTTCCCTCTCGGTGGAGACCCGAAAGTCCTCGCTGCTTGTGAGTTCTTGATCATAATATTATATTAAGTTTTCCCTCTTTTTTTTTTCCCTCCACTTTTTCATTGTTTCAAATATTCGTAAAAAGTAATTCAGACATGTACGATTTTTTCCGCAGACATGGTGAAGAATAAAGGGTTCTTGCCGTCTGGACCGTCTGAAATACCTATACAACGGAACCAAATAAAAGATATTATTTTTTCCCTACTTCCTGCATGCACAGATCCCGATCCCGACACGAATGTTTCGTTCAAAGTCGATGCAATAATCGCCAATCCACCTGCATATGGTATAACTTTGTATCTCATCTTTTCTCACTTTCTGTCTCGTAGGCTCGTCGTTTCTTCTTCGTTTTTATTTATTTTTATGTTTTTTAAAGAAGACAAAATCTACTAGTCGGGTCTCGTATGATGTATAAACCTATATATTCAGGGCACACACATGTTGCCGAGGCGTTGAAAGTACCACTACACATAATATTCACTATGCCGTGGACGTAAGTATCTCATGCAATTTTATTTATTATTATTTTTTTGTTTCTTGTTATTGGTTAATGAAAAAAGTTTCTCATCTTACGAGTTGACTATTTTTCCGATCATATAAATACATGCAGTCCCACGAGTGAATTTCCACATCCTCTTTCTCGTGTTAAGCAGCAAGTTGGTTACAGAGTGAGTACATTACTATACTAATGATTATTTACGCGAGTATACGGCACTCGTAATTTGCTTTTTTTTTTTTTTTTTTTTTTTGCAGTTATCGTATCAAATTGTTGATTCACTAATCTGGCTGGGAATACGCGATATGATAAACGAATTCAGAAAGAAAAAACTAAGACTAAGGCCTGTGACGTATTTAAGCGGCTCGTATAGTTCTCCTCCGGATATTCCTTACGCATATATTTGGAGTCCTCACCTTGTTCCTAAACCAAAAGGTGAGTTCTTTTCTAGGCATCATGCTTGATGAAATTAATTTATCTTAAAAAAATTATCATTTAATGAGTTTAAAAATTCAATTTTTAGTTAAAAATTAAACTTTATAATCTTTTCTGAAATACGAGGAGTCTATATATAATTAAATCTAACATCACGGGAGGAAAATGTCATTTACTCGATATTTTTTCAAGGGTAAAATTGAAAATTTCAAAAAGGTCAAACGGTCAAGTGGGTTTAGTGTTGGCTAATATCAAACCTTAAGGGAGGTATGCGTAATTTTTCAAACCAAAGGGGATTTATCTGTAATTAATTTATGTGCGTACTTTTGTTAATTCTTCTGAGGTGTATGCAGATTGGGGACCGAAAATTGATGTGGTGGGATTTTGTTTCTTGGATCTTGCTTCGAATTACGTACCGCCGGACTCACTTTTGGAGTGGCTTAAAAACGATAAAGAGCCTATTTACATTGGTTTTGGAAGTCTTGTATGTATCATACTTTCGTATTTTAACCGATTTGTCGTATTTCGTTCTTCTAATTTGAGACGAAAAGCGCCAAATCATATATATATACATACATGCATATTTTATTTTATTTTTTTCTTATTTTTTTTGTCTCTTAACCAGCCTGTGTGGATCCCGAAAAGATGACTCGGATAATTGTACGAGCTCTTGAAATTACGGGACAACAAGTGGTATCATTAACAAAGGATGGGGTGGCTTGGGAAACTGTATGTTTTTTCGTG